GCCCAAGAGCGCTGGCGCGAGTCCCCTGGCCCCATACCTGAGGACCGGAGAACCTCGCCCAAGAGTGTGTGCATATTTGCAATAAAAGGCTGCTGCTTTGTTATGTACTTTGGCCTCATGTTTAACTATTTAGCTCTCCAAATTAAATTAAATTAAATTAAGACACCCAGGAGGAAGAGGTTGCAGTGAGCCAAGATTGTGCCACTGCACTCCATCCTGAGCGACAGAGTGAGACTCCGTCTCAAAAACAAACAAACAAACAAAACAAGGCGGCAAAGGAAACAAAAGGCTCATTGTCAAGTGACAATCAACAGAAGCAGACACACAGATAACCTGGAATAATAATACACAAATTTCAGAAAAAGAATCTGAAATAAATATGATTAATAGATGGGAAAACACTGTTTTAAGGTACTTATACTATACCTGAAGCAGCAGATTATTATTTAAAGGTAAACAGTCATGCAATGCATGACATTTCAGAGGGCTTCATTCTCAAATTCTATCAAACAATTAAAAAAGAAATAATAGAAATTTTAAACAAGTCTTCCAGAAAACAGAAAAGGGGGAAATAAGTCAACTTTTTTTTATGAGGCCAGAATTACACTGACACCAAAACTAGATAAAGATGTTAAAATAAAGAACAGACCAATATCCCTCATAAACAAAGACACAAAAATCCTAAACAAAAAAATAGCAAATTGCATTCAGCAATATATAAAAAGGATAATACTTCACAGCCAATAGATACTTATTCTAGGAATCGAAGGCTGGCTCATTATTTGCAAATCAGTCAATGTCACCTACCATAACAATAGACTAAAGATGAAAAAAAATTATCTCTTCAATAAATGCAGAAAAGTCTTTTGACAAAATTCAACACCTGTTCATAATAATAATTATTATTATAATAAACCCTCAGCAAACCAGGAATAAAAAGGAACATCCTGAACCAGATTAGGGGCATCTACAAAAAACACACAGTTAACATCATACTTAATGGTAGAAGACTGAATGCTTCTTTCCTAAGATGAAGTACAATGCGAGAACATCCTACCACACCCCTATTCAAAAATCATAGTAGAGATCCTAGCCTGTGCAGTAAGGCAAGAAAAAGAAATAAAAGATTTATTAATTAGAAAGGCAGAAATAAAACTGTCTCTATTTGCAGATGACATGACTGTCTATACAGAAAATCTCAAAGAAACTACAAAAAAAGTTATTAGAACTAATTGAGTTTAGCAAGGTCACAGAACACAAATTACACATACAAAAGTCAATTGTATCCACATACCTGTAATAAAAAATTGAAAATCTAATGCTTTTTAAAAACTACCATGTATTATATAATAGCACCAAAACATGAAACACTTAAGTATAAATCTCATGAAATTATGTGCAAGATTTCTATGCTGAA